GTAGCATTTAACTGAGATATATTAAAATCAAAGCATAAAATTAATTTTGTGTCTCCTAAGAGTATCGTATTATTCGCGTATCTTTTTCGGATTGTTTGCAAATATGCTATTAAAATTTATCGTTTCGTGTGTTATTATTTATTCTTTTATGCCGGTGTCAGTACAAGATATAGGTGTAAGTCCGTTTGCTCCCGATATTCCACCTCTTCTCCCTGATGATCCGTATTTCGAGTACCCTGGCCCTCCATCAATTCCTAATTTACCTGAAAATCCAGGTACTCCTGGTCACCCTCACCGTTAGATTAAAAGACATTAAAAATCAACTTTTGTCCGTATAATATTGTGTAATAAATTTAACAAAAGTGATATAATAAAATAGTTTTTAATTACAGTTCATTTGTTGTATTGATTTCATGAGACATTACTTACTCATCATACCACCTATAATGATACTGTGAGAGTTTAGTTATTTGTTTGTAATATTGAAAACCTTAACTCCAAAATTAATACAAGACAATAACTTTTACTCTGAAAATGTGTGCGTAAAAAACAAAATATGGTCTTTAAAATAGTTTAATGCTTTAACATTCATCAAATGGTTTATTAGAAGACGTTTATGTTTTTCGAAAATATTTTGCATATTATACATAACATATCACATATTTCCTCCATTTGCTTCTGGCATGATAATTAACATATTACTTAATTTGTAATTTGGTATATTTCAATAATTAAATTTATCTAATTCCTACTTACTTAAAATTTTTTGTTCTATTAAAAATCAAAACTTAACGTTTTTATTTCCCATAGTATGGCAGTTTTTTTTTCATATAGTCCAGAAATAATTTAAAATATCCCAAATAGTTTTCTCCTATAACCATACTTATAACTATTTGTACAAAAATTGAATTGAACAGCCTTTTCTGTGAACCAACTATGTTTAAATTTCAACCAATAAAGTCTACTTTTTATAGAAATAAGTTTATAAATTCTGGTGAAATATAAGTAAATACGACAGGAAAATTATTATTTTTGTTAGTGTGTAAAAAGCTGCACAAACAGGTACATATTATAAATCATAGAAATGTGTTGCCAATATTTTTAGATAAATTAAATTTTTATGGATGAGGTTAAATATTTATCCAAAGAGTAAATAAAAATAAAAATTAACCTCTTACATATAAATTTGTACC